TCTGAGAACTGCTGTACATCTGTGTTGCATGGAGTCAACCAACTTCTGGCACCTGTGAACAGGTATTCCAGCCCAGGATGATTGGACTATATTCCACAGTTCTTCTCTATTTCTTGGTTTTGCCTCAGAAACTGCATTTTTGATGTCACCCCACAAGTTTTCCATTGGATTAAGATCCGGGGATTGGGCTGGCCACTCCATAACGTCAATCTTGTTGGTCTGGAACCAAGATGTTGCACATTTACTGGTGTGTTTGGGGTCGTTGTCTTGTTGGAACACCCATTTCAAGGGCATTTCCTCTTCAGCATAAGGCAGCATGACCTCTTCAAGTATTCTGATGTATTCAAACTGATCCATGATCCCTGGTATGCGATAAATAGGCCCAACACCGTAGTATGAGAAACATCCCCATATCATGATGCTTGTGCAACCATGCTTCACTGTCTTCACAGTGTACTGTGGCTTGAATTCAGTGTTTGGGGGTCCTCTGACAAACTGTCTCCGGCCACTAGACCCAAAAAGAACAATCTTACTTTCATCAGTCCACAAAATGTTGCGCCATTTCTCTTTAGGCCAGTCAATGTGCTCTTTGGCAAATTGTAACCTCTTCAGCACATGTCTTTTTTTCAACAGTGGGACTTTGCGGGGGCTTCTTGCAGATTGCTTGGCTTCACATAGGCGTCTTCTAATTGTAACAGTACTCACAGGTAACTTTACACCTTCTTTGATCTTCCTGGAGCTGATTGTTGGCTGAGTCCTTGCCATTTTGGCTATTCTTCTATCCATTCGAATGGCAGTTTTTCGCTTTCTTCCACATCTTTAAGGTTTTGGTTGCCATTTTGAAGCATTTGCGATAATTTTAGCTGAGCAGCCTATCATTTTCTGCACTTCTTTATATGTTTTCCCCTCTCCAATCAACTTTTTAATCAAGGTACGCTGTTCTTCTGAACAATGTCTGGAACGACCCATTTTCCTCAGAATTTCAGATAGAAATGCACTGTAACCAACATGTACAACATTTGCTGCCTTCCTTCCTTAAATAAGGGCAATAATTGCCACCTGTTTTTAAAAGAATGAATGACCTCACTAATAGAACTCCACACTGCTATTATTTTGAACATGCCCCTTTCAATTAGTGATTCAATAACACAGAATCAGCAGCATGCATGTCATGACTGTTGGGTCTGTTGGATTTCTATTACTCTACTACACCTGCTAGTAAAATATTTGCCATGTAGAAATATCATTTCTACCAAAAACAGTGATTGATCAGGTTAGTGATGTCTGACTGCTATTATTTTGAACACAACTGTAAGTACCTGAAATAAATAATAGGAAAGACTGTGCACATAGCACTTTTCCTTGTTGTTGGATAGCTTGCTTCTCCCGCTATTATCTCACAACACTGGACAAAGGAGACGGACCTCTAACTGTACAGAGAAGGAGCAGTCCAGACACAGTGTCCACACAGCTCCTGCCTTCTTTGAACACTGTCTCTCTGTGCCTCTTCTGCTTCATTTGTACAAATTAAAGCCTGAGCCCAAAACCTCCCACAGCCTCCTCTCCATTCTGCAGCAATGCCTTTCTCAGACGTGCTGTTTGCTGTTTTTCTGAATGACTGCGCTTCTTCTCAGCTTCTGTCATTTACACAACACAAGCCAAAAACTACTACTGTAGTCATCTCCTCTGACCTAGCCGGCCACTGCGGAAGGCTCAGCTTTTTATAGTAGCAGAGGAGAAACTTCTGCAGAATGAAGGGGGATGTGGGCTCAGCCTTTTCATTTTTTACAAATGAAGCAGATGAAGCACAGAGATGCATGGCAAGGAGGGCTTCAAAATTGGGAGGTGTCAATGCTGACTGTAGCCCCCCATAGGAATGCCCATAATTTGAGGCAGAGATACAGTCAGCACAGACAGTAATATAAACAGCATTTTATTTCCACACCACAGCACTGAATTTTATAGCGGTAAGTCACCTGTGGGATTTAATCTTTTTAACTTTTGGTGAGATTTCGTCTTTATACCCCAACTCCAGAGAGTTTTAGAAACTTTGCCAGGTTTTTACTGCTGACTGTGTCGGGGTTGCTGAGATATTACCCTCACTTCCCATTCTGGTGATAAAGTGTCATAAGGACAGGAAGTGATGTGATATCTCTATGATATAGACCAGGGGTGTCAAACTCAATTTAATTGTGGGCATTATCAGCATTATAGTTGCCCTCAAAGGGTCGATTGTATCTGTAAGACTAGATTTCCAGAGTCTTACACTCTCCCTTACATCACAGGGCACCCCCCTTACCTTGTGTCACTACCAGGAAGAAGCTGGAGGCAGAGCTGGGAAGCAGAAAGTGCAGGGTCTAGAGGAGGACCAGAGGAGGGCTGAAGTCTGCTGAGCGCTGAGACCAGGAGAGGTGGGAAGCAGAAAGTGCAGAGTCTAGAGGAGGACCAGAGGAGGGCTGAAGTCTGCTGAGCGCTGAGACCAGGAGAGGTGGGAAGCAGAAAGTGCAGAGTCTAGAGGAGGACCAGAGGAGGGCTGAAGTCTGCTGAGCGCTGAGACCAGGACAGGTGGGAAGCAGAAAGTGCAGGGTCTAGAGGAGGACCAGAGGAGGGCTGGAGTCTGCTGAGCGCTGAGATTAGGGGAGGTGGGAAGCAGAAAGTGCAGGGTCTAGAGGAGGACCCAGAGGAGGGCTGAAGTCTGCTAAACGCTGAGACCAGGGGAGGTGGGAAGCAGAAAGTGCAGAGTCTAGAGGAGGACCAGAGGAGGGCTGAAGTCTTCTGAGCGCTTAAACCAGGGGAGGTGGGAAGCAGAAAGTGCAGGGTCTAGAGGAGGACCAGAGGAGGACTGAAGTCTGCTGAGCTGAGAGACAGGTGGGAAGCAGAAAGTGCGCTGAGACCAGGACACCAGGTGGGAAGCAGAAAGTGCAGGGTCTAGAGGAGGACCAGAGGAGGGCTGAAGTCTGCTGAGCGCTGAGACCAGGACAGGTGGGAAGCAGAAAGTGCAGGGTCTAGAGGAGGACCAGAGGAGGGCTGGAGTCTGCTGAGCGCTGAGATTAGGGGAGGGGAGGTGGGAAGCAGAAAGTACAGGGTCTAGAAGAGGACCAGAGGAGGGCTGAAGTCTTCTGAGCGCTTAAACCAGGGGAGGTGGGAAGCAGAAAGTGCAGGGTCTAGAGGAGGACCAGAGGAGGGCTGAAGTCTGCTGAGCGCTGAGACCAGGACAGGTGGGAAGCAGAAAGTGCAGGGTCTAGAGGAGGACCAGAGGAGGGCTGGAGTCTGCTGAGCGCTGAGATTAGGGGAGGTGGGAAGCAGAAAGTGCAGGGTCTAGAGGAGGACCAGAGGAGGGCTGAAGTCTGCTAAACGCTGAGACCAGGGGAGGTGGGAAGCAGAAAGTGCAGAGTCTAGAGGAGGACCAGAGGAGGGCTGAAGTCTTCTGAGCGCTTAAACCAGGGGAGGTGGGGAAGCAGAAAGTGCAGGGGTCTAGAGGAGGACCAGAGGAGGGCTGAAGTCTGCTGAGCGCTGAGACCAGGACAGGTGGGAAGCAGAAAGTGCAGGGTCTAGAGGAGGACCAGAGGAGGGCTGGAGTCTGCTGAGCACTGAGATTAGGGGAGGTGGGAAGCAGAAAGTGCAGGGTCTAGAGGAGGACCAGAGGAGGGCTGGAGTCTGCTGAGTGCTGAGATTAGGGGAGGTGGAGACGAGGGGGTGCTTTAGATGCATTGAGAAGCGCAGGATCTGGTGGTAGAGTTCTGTCCTCTCTGCTGCTGACTGCTGAAACAAGGTGAGAGTGGAGACAAGGGGGGTGCCACAGCTGCAGGAAAGGTGAGAGGGCCACATGAAATGTCCTGGTAGCCCGGATTTGGCTCGCGGGCCTTGTGTTTGACACATGTGATATAGACCGATATGACAGAGCAGTTACAGTTTATTTTTGTTGCTCCCTGAGACTTCTTGTCCCAGAGATATCCTCAAACGGTAAAGCCTCGTACACATGAACCAAATATCGTCCGGTATCAGCTGGTTCAATAGAAATCGGCTGATATTTAGCCTATGTGTATGCCCGCCTGTCCGAACGTCCGGCTTCTGTCGAACGGGCATGCTCAAAAACCATCATCCTATCGTCATCTGATCAGTGTTGACAGCCAATGGCTGCCAGCACTGACCGGTGTGTTCTGGCAGTCCCCCTGTCAGAACACAATAGCTCAGTGGAGAGATCACTGTACTAACATCAGAGCTCTTCATATTTTTTCATTCAGCCCACTAGGTTGAATGAAAAAAAAACTGCTAGTGTGTACTCAGAATTTTCATTTTATCTGGTGTTACTGGAACAGTGATTAAAGTGAGGTGAGATCAACAGGAGACACAGACAGTAATAAAAAAAAATTACAGTTACCCCCCCCCCCCCCATATCTCTAAAACATTAAAGCATTTTACTAAATCACTATCTATAACTCGCTCCCTTTTTCTGCTCTATTATTCTGGTTCATTGCTTTCGATTTTCAACAAGTTCAGATGAGCAGTATCCGTCAAGGCATACTTTTCTTCACTATCTTTTCTTTGTGGCTCCCTAAGAGGCCATTACAATTTGATTGACTAATAATTGAGACTCAGGGGATACCTCCACATGTACTGGTAATTGATTGTCATCTATAAAAGATTCATTTTTGAGTGACTTTGGGTGACTTTGTAATAATTCTGTAGCAATTTTCAATGAGAAGCCTTGAATTTTGCATCACTGCTCTACACCACCCTCCCCTAGTGTACGGTGCCTTGAAAAAGAATTCATACCCATTGAAATTTTCCACATTTTGTCATGTTACAACCAAACACGTAAATGTATTTTATTGGGATTTTATGTGATATTCCTAGATTGTAAGCTCTAACAAGCAGGGCCCTTTGTTTTCCTCTTGAACCTACTTGTATTGTAACTGTAATGTCTACCTTCATTTTGTAAAGCGCTGCGCAAACTGTTGGCGCTATATAAATCCTGTATAATAACCAGAGACTGCGGACATAGTACAGGAGATGACCAGAGACTGCAGACATGCAGACATAGTACAGGAGATGACCAGAGACTGCGGACATAGTACAGGAGATGACCAGAGACTGCGGACACAGTACAGGAGATGACCAGAGACTGCAGACATAGTACAGGAGATGACCAGAGACTGCGGACATAGTACAGGAGATGACCAGAGACTGCGGACATAGTACAGGAGATGACCAGAGACTGCAAAAACACTACAGGAGATGACCAGAGACTGCAGACATAGTACAGGAGATGACCAGAGACTTCGGACATAGTACAGGAAATGACCAGAGACTGCAAAAACACTACAGGAGATAACCAGAGACTGCAGACATAGTACAGGAGATGACCAGAGACTGCAGACATGCAGACATAGTACAGGAGATGACCAGAGACTGCGGACACAGTACAGGAGATGACCAGAGACTGCAGACATAGTACAGGAGATGACCAGAGACTGCAGACATAGTACAGGATATAGCCAGAGACTGCAGACATAGTACAGGAGATGACCAGAGACTGCGGACATAGTACAGGAGATGACCAGAGACTGCGGACATAGTACAGGAGATGACCAGAGACTGCAGACATAGTACAGGAGATGACCAGAAACTGCAGACATAGTACAGGAGATGACCAGAAACTGCAGACATAGTACAGGAGATGACCAGAGACTGCAGACATACTACAGGAGGTGACCAGAGACTGCAGACATACTATAGGAGATGACCAGAGACTGCAGACATAGTACAGGAGATGACCAGAAACTGCAGACATAGTACAGGAGATGACCAGAGACTGCAGACATACTACAGGAGGTGACCAGAGACTGCAGACATACTATAGGAGATGACCAGAGACTGCAGACATACTATAGGAGATGACCAGAGACTGCAGACATACTATAGGAGATGACCAGAGACTGCAGACATACTATAGGAGATGACCAGAGACTGCAGACATACTACAGATGACCAGAGACTGCGGATATAGTACAGGAGATAACCAGAGACTGCGGACATAGTACAGGAGATGACCAGAGACTGCGGATATAGTACAGGAGATGACCAGAGAATGCGGACATACTAAAGGAGATGACCAGAGACTGCGGACACAGTACAGGAGATGACCAGAGACTGCGGACACAGTACAGGAGATGACCAGAGACTGCGGACATAGTACAGGAGATGACCAGAGACTGCGGATATAGTACAGGGGATGACCAGAGACTGTGGACATACTAAAGGAGATGACCAGAGACTGCAGACATAGTACAGGAGATGACCAGAGACTGCGGACATAGTACAGGAGATGACCAGAGAATGTGGACATACTAAAGGAGATGACCAGAGACTGCAGACATAGTACAGGAGATGACCAGAGACTGCAGATATAGTACAGGAGATGACCAGAGACTGCGGACATAGTACAGGAGATGACCAGAGACTGCAGATATAGTACAGGAGATGACCAGAGAATGCGGACACAGTACAGGAGATGACCAGAGACTGCGGACACAGTACAGGAGATGACCAGAGACTGCGGACACAGTACAGGAGATGACCAGAGACTGCAGACCTTTGGGGAGTGGGTACCCGAATTTGACAGGTACCTGCTCCCACTTCCGCTGCGATTGCCTAGGCGATCAGAAGCGGAAGTTGTCCTCTCCCCTCCCTCCCTGTAGTGTTCTGGGACACAAAACAGGTCCCAGAAGACCACAGTGCCATTCACAAAGCGCAGCGCTTCTCGTGCATGTGCAGTGGGCATCCAGCTGTGAAGCGTCCCTCGGACACAGCGGATCACCTTTCAACGGAAAGAGTCGAAGATGTCGGCTCGGTCATGTGATCAGCTGTGTCCAATCACAGCTGATCGCATGTAAATAGGGAAATGCAAGTTTTCAGCATTTCTCTCCTCACGAGCTGTCACGCTGACAGCTCGTGAGGGGAGGAGAGTCAGTAATCAGCATTCCTCAGAGGGGACATTATGATCAGTGTGCCTTGATGATCAGTGTAGCCCCAGCGGTGCCACCTGTCATTGTCCATCAGTGCCAGCTGTCAGTGCTCATCAATGCCACCTATCAGTGCCTCATCAATGCCACATATCAGTGCCTGCCAGTGCACATCAATGCCATATATCAGTGCCCATCTGAGCTGCCTTTCAGTGTCACCTATCAGTGTCAGTCAGTGCCACCTATCAGTGCTGTCAGTTAGTGTTTGCCTATCAGTGCCAGTCAGTGCTGCCTATCAGTGCCAGTCAGTGCCAGTCAGTGCCGTCTATCAGTGCCGCCTAACAGTGCCAGTCAGTACCACCTAACAGTGCCAGTCAGTTCCGCCTGTCAGTGCCGCCTATCAGTGCCATATATGAGTGCTGCCTGGTCAATGCCCATCACTGCCACCTACCAGTGCCTCCTCATCAGTGCCCATCAGTGCAGCCTATCAGTGCCCATCATTGCAGCCTCATTAGTGCACATCAGTGAAGGAGAAAAATCACTTATTTACAAAATTTTATAACAAAAACTAAGAAAAAACTTTTCATTTTCAAAATTTTCAGTTTTTGTTTTTTTTTGCAAAAAATAAAAACCCAGAGGTGATTAAATACCACCATAAGAAAGCTCTATCTGTCTCAAAAAAAAATACCAATTTCATATGGGTACAGTGTTGCATGACCGCGCAATTGTCATTCAAAATGCAACAGCGCTGAAAGCTGAAAATTGGTCTGGCAGGAAGGGGGTATAAGTGCCCAGTAGGCAAGGGGTTAAGGGGCAGCTGCTATGGGCCCTGCCAACCGCTGCTACAGAAGAGCTGAATGGCCAGCCCGGTATTCTAACATGGCGGCGGCGATGGGGGGGGAGAATAGCGGGTCGGCCTCTCCATATTCAATCCATAAGACGCACAGACATTTCCCCCAATTTTTTTGGGGAAAAAAGTGCATCTTATGGAACAAAAAATACGGTAAGTCTACAGAGAGTTGTTGGATCTGGTTAGGCAATGTAGCTGAAGTGATACACTTTCTGTGCTGAATTACTAATCATTTGCATTCATCTATATATATTTGAGCTGTGCTTTTACTGCTTGCCTGGAGTTCAGCTTACAAATTCTCAAAGCATTTCTCGGACAAAGCAAAGACAACTTTTAGGTCAAAGGTTCTTTCTGGTTTGCAGTAATATTAGGGAGCACATAAGTGTCTTTTCCTGTTATTCAGTTATCTTTTAAATGAAAAGAAACTCCAGGTGCCATGTTCATTGTCTACAGGATGTAAGTCAAGAGTCTTCTGGTTACCCCAGAACAGCAGCATTTTGTTGGTCAGATAAAATGTGTGTCCTAACATAAACGGAAGGCCATTATGAACATCTCATCCACGCTGATTTATTTTATGTGGTGCACAGATGTCTACACTTTGCTCTTACATCATTTCTACTGCTCTTAATTGGCCATAGACAAGAGCTTTTCAGATGGGTTGGGCAGTAATCCCACATCAGATGCCTGCTGCAAGACAACGCACAAGGGGGGAGATCCATTGTAGTAGATGACTAATGTTCTGCCTGTGATCAGTGGCACTGTCAGCATCTGGGCCCCCAATACTCCACCTGCTCCATTTCCTTTAATATCAGATAAATATGTACATACAGTTAATCTAAGCGTGTATGTCTATGAAGCATTCTACAGCACTTTGTAGAGAAGGAGCACATACATCCACTTGCTCTTCTTTCTTTCTTCATTTGCTAGTTGCCTGGCTGTGACTGGTTTTAGTATTTTCCATACTGGAACAAGCATGCAGACCAAGAAAGTCTTTTTTTTTTAACCACTTGCCTACCGGGCACTTATACCCCCTTCCTGCCCAGGCCAATTTTGAGCTTTCAGCGCTGCCACACTATGAATGACAATTGCGCAGTCATGCAACACTGTATCCATATGAAATTTTTATAATTTTTTTTTAGACAGATAGAGCTTTCTTTTGGTGGTATTTAATCACCTCTGGCTTTTTTAATTTTTGCTAAACAAACCAAAAACAACTGAAAATTTTTAGTTTCTGTTATAAATTTTGTAAATAAGTGATTTTTCTCATTCACTGATGTGCGCTAATGAGGCTGCAGTGATGGGCACTGATAGGCGGCACTGATAGGCGGCACTGATGGGCACTGATGAGGAGGCACTGGTAGGTGGCACTGATGGGCATTGACAGGCTTCACTGATGGGCACTGAAAGGCAGCACTCATATGTGGCACTGATAGGCGGCACTGACTGGCACTGTTAGATGGCACTGACTGGCACTGTTAGGCGGCACTGATAGGCAGCACTGACTGGCATTGATAGGTGGCACTAACTGGCACTGATAGGTGGCACGGAAAGGCAGCTCAGATGGGCACTGATATGTGGCATTGATGTGCACTGGTAGGCACTGATATGTGGCATTGATGTGGCACTGATGGGCACTGGCAGGTGGCATTGATGAGCACTGACAGGTGGCATTGATGGACACTGACAGGTGGCACTGTTGGGGCTACACTGATCATCAGAGCACACTGATCATCAGTGCCCTGATGATCCGGGAACATGTCCCTTCTGAGGAATGCCGATTACCAGCTCTCCTCTCCTCACGAGCTGTCAGCGTGATAGCTCGTGAGAAGAAAAATGCACATAACCGGCATTTCCTTATTTGCATGCGATCAGCTGTGATTGGACACAGCAGATCACATGACCAAGCCGACGTCTTCGGCTCTTTCCATTGATCGGTGATCTGCTGTGTCCCAGGGACACAGCGCACAACCGATCGCCACACTGCTGGAGGACGTCATATGACGTCCTCCCAGAACGAGAGAACCGCCTTGCGCCCGTCATTTCCTTATATGGCAGGCGGGAGGCGGTTAAAGACATGGTCACTTTCCACCTGCAGTGCAAAGTGACAGTAGGATTGATTTACTTAAACTGGAGAGTACAAAATCTGGCACAGTTCTGCATAGAAACCAATCAGCTTCCGGGTTTTATAGCCAAAGCTTAATTGAACAAGTTGAAGTTACAAGCTGATTGGCTACCATGTACAGCTGCACCAGATTCTGAGTGCTCCAGTCCCCCCAATGTGTTTGTAAAGTACCCCTGCCTGAGTTATACCCACCTTACAAGTGCTCACTTACCGCTCATTCCTTTGCTACAGTCAGCACTGAAATCCAAGATGTCAGCTTCTTTAGTCAAACAATAAAGGGAGTGGTAACATCATTCCTTGGGATATGTACAAAGCTCACGCCAAGTGATTGGCTGCTGGAATCCAGCACTGTCACACGCAAGAGGGTCACATCCTCTGCCATACCCAGAAGGTATTTTTTTTAGTTTTAGCAAAGGCAGGAGCTATAAGGGAGTGCTGGGGCGGGTGTGACAATCTTTACAAAAGCACTCACACTTTGCCCTGAATGGACAAGGAGACAGTGTCACTTTAACCCTTTCGCTGCCAAGTCCTGCAGTCCACTTTTAAACTCAGGTGGTCAGACCATTTTTGTAATTTTTCCATTGCTTTTTTATTTTTTCCTTACAGCTTTCAGAGTTTGTAAAAGACTCACCAAACTATATATTTTCTGAGAGCACATGACCAGTAGAATAAAAAGAAGGTGCTACTGAATTTTAAGGCCCCACAGTAGTTGTGCAAATGTTTATCAAAACAATATTTTCTGTAAAAATACACAAAATTATTGTTTGCACATACGAACACAGCAAATTTTACTAAATTCTTCCTAAATTCCTACTAAGTATAAAAGCTTAACCTGTATTGAGTTATTAAATTACAAATATTTGTACATTTTAAATTGCGCCTTCTTTGCGAAATGGTGAAAATCTAACGTACGCAAAAATCTAAATAAATACATTTCTCTACAAATCTGGAGGTTTTAGTTTTTCAGTTACAGCTCTCAGATTTTGTAAAAGACCCACCAAACCATATATTTTCTGAAAGCACATGACCAGTAGAATAAAAAAAGGATACTACTGAATTGTAAGGCCCCGCAATATTTTATCAAAACAATATTTTCGCTAAAAATACACTAAAATCAGATATTTGTACATTTTAAATTGCACCTTCTTTGCAAAATGGTGAAAATCGAACTTACCAAAAAATGTAAATTACCAAAAATCTGGAGGTTTTAATTTTTCACTTGCAGCTTTGAAAGATTGTAAAAGACCCACCAAACCATATATTTTAGGAAAGCACATGACCAGTAGAATTGTCACGTACCTGGTTGGGGAGCCTGACATGGAGAGAGGGGGCGTCCTCTTACAACTCCCGCTCAGAGCCCCTGATAGTGGGAACAGAGGGCGCAGAGCCAGGAGTGGCAGGAGTGCCATGTGAATCTGAAGCTGACGGCGGGTAGCTGGGGACCCAGGAGATCCGGACACAGGCCAGGTGCGGGTGCAGGAAGTGCGTGTGCAGGACGTAGGTGCAGCAGCAAGCAGGTATGGCGGCAGTCAGGATGCGGATGGGACCGGACACCGATGCGTGGATGCAGTAGCAGGCAGGTATGGCGGTGACTCGGATGCAGGACAGATGCGGAACCGTGGGTGCAGCGGCAGGTAAGTATGACAGCCGACAGGATGCAAGCCAGGTGCAGGTAGGTAGTAAATGTAGCAGAGTCAGACAAGTAGGGTCAGTATCAAGCGAGCAGATAAAGTACAAAAGGAGCAGGGATAGCCGGGGTTGGTGCAGGCGGAGTTCTTTCTTAGTCAGGTAAATCAGAATACAGGTATCAGGAATATGTGCAGAAACGTTGTAGACCAGAAGGCATTGATTTTACTTTTGAGAAGGTTTAAATAGCCCGCCTGACATGACGGCTAAATTTTGCAAAAACACATCTGAAGTCTCCAAAAGCATGTAGGAAAATGTGTTATGATCTGATGAAAATGAAGGTTGAACTTTTTGGCTATAATTACAAAAGATATGTTTGGCGCAAAAACAACATTGCGAATCACCAAAAGAACACCATACCCACAGTGAAGCATGGTGGTGGCAGCATCATGCTTTGGTGTCTTTTTTTCATCAGCTGGAACTGGGGCCTTAGTCAAGGTAGAGGGAGTTATGAACAGTTCCAAATACCAGTCAATATTGGCAAAAAACCTTCAGGATTCTGCTAGAAAGCTGAACATGAAGAGGAACTTCATCTTTCAGCATGACAACGACCCAAAGCATTCATCCAAATCAACCAAGGAATGGCTTCACCAGAAGAAGATTCAGTACCTGTCTGTTAATTCACCGGATTTATTCACTTGTCAACATAGTAATCAGATTTAGAACGGAAATGACGTCAGCGCTAATTACAATAGTCACCTTACACGCATTAAATAAATAAATCCGGTGAATTAACAGACAAGCACCCGAAGATTCAAGTTTTGGAATGGACCAGCCAGAGCCCAGACCTGAATCTGATCGAAAATCTGTGAGGTGATCTGAAGAGGGCTGTGCACAGGAGATGTCCTCGCAATCTGACAGATTTGGAGTGTTTTTTGCAAGGAAGAGTGGGCAAATATTGCCAAGCCATGATGTGCCATGCTGATAGACTCATCCCCACAAAGAGTGCTGGAATCAAATCAAAAGGTGCTTCAACAAAGTATTAGTTTAAGGGTGTGCACACTTATGCAACCATATTAATTTAGTTGTTTATTTTTACTTCACTCCACCTAAAAGATTTCAGTTTGTTGTTCAACTGAGTTGTACAGTTTATAGGGTCACATTAAAGGTGGGAAAAGTTATGTAAGGACCTGGCAGCAAAAGGGTTAAAGCAAAGCTGACTATTGCCAATACCAGCCAAAGCACTGGGCTTGCTTTAGACCCTCACCCCTCCATTGCGATCTTGTGGCAAAACACAAGTTTGTTTTAGGTCAGAACACCTGATTTGTATACTTGTTTGGGTCAGTGATTACCAATTCAATGCAGGGCACTTTTACCCCCTTCCTGCCCAGACCATTTTCCAGGTTTCAGCGCTCTCACAATTTGAATGACAATTGCGCGGTCATACAACATTGTACCCAAACTAAAATTTTATAATTTTCTTCACACAACTAGAGCTTTCTTTTGGTGGTATTTAATCACCGCCGCGGTTTTTATTTTTTTGCTAAATTAACAAAAAAAACCGAAAATTTTGAAAAAAAAACACGTTTTTCTTTGTTTCTGTTATAAAAGTTTGCAAATAAATAATTGTTCTTAATAAATTTAGGCCAAAATGTATTCTGCTACATGTCTTTGGTGAAAATAACCCAAATTAGGATGTATTTTTTAGTTTGTAGGAAAGTTATAGAGTTCACAAACTATGGTATAGATCTGAATATTGATCATTCCTGAAGTACTGACAGCCAATCTAATTTCTTGAGGTCCAAGAATGTCAGAACAGTACAGATATCCCCCAAATGACCCCTTTTTGCAAAGTAGACAGTCCGACGTACTTCATAAGAGGCATGGCGAGTTTTTTGAAGTTGTATTTTTTTGTCATTATTTTTCGGAATTTGAAAAAATAAAAAAAAAAAATTATTTTCACTATTTTTTTTTACATACTGTCACCAGTGCAGTACAGCGTCATCATATAACTGGCATGGTGGTGATCAGGGACACTGACTGGTGACAGTATGAAAAAAAAAAAAAAAATATATATATATATATTTTTTTTTTTTTTATTACATTTTTTTTCTTTTTTTTTAAGATTTGTTTTCATATTTCACTATGTCCAAAGTAGTACAATGTTAACATAGTAACATTGTACTACTTTGGGGAAGTGATCAGTATTTTTTTTTTTTTACACAATTTGCTTATAGCAAAGAATTACTTTGCTATAAGCAAGCATTTACCTGAATGACATCGATTCATTCAGGGTTTTTTTTTGGGGGTTTTTTTGTGCTTAGCTGTGATTTGGCCACAGCTAATCACATGACATGTGCATATGATCACTGTGACCATTCACAGCTAGACACTAGTATACAATGGATGGCATGAATGAAGCCATCCATTGTATACAACTGTGATTGGTCACAGCAGGTCGCATGGTACTGGCAACAGGGCCGGTACTCAGATCTGTCATCGGCCGTGTCCGAGGTACACGGCCGGTGACAGATTGCGCCTCTGCGCGACTCTGCAAGCACGATAACTGCGCATGCCCAGGAGGACGCCATATGGTGTCCACCCGGAAATCTACAACATTTTGCCGGCCGCCAAACGGCTATTGTCTGGGTGGCTATTGGTTAAGAATAAGAAGGAGCTAAGGCCATATTAGGTCATTGTGGCCATATTAGGTCAACGATGTCACCAGCATCTCTGCCCCCTTGTTCCACAGCCACAGTTGATTGGGCCGGTAGCCTGGTATTATGTGACAGTCTCCCACATGTACGGCCTGATCCTTAGCTCATCCTTAATTTAGAATGTATTGAAGCCATGAGTTCAGCGTGACAGCCAGGAAGCCAGCATTTTCAGTACAAGAAGCCGGAACAATATATTCACATGAGCTAACACTCAAATTATTCCTTCTAATGCAGATGTTAGATAGTAGGGTTCAATACTAAATGTTATTACTGTTCTGTCTCCAGTTAAATGTTTGATAATGGCCTGCTAGGACAGTCTTATCACTGCCATCCACAGGCTATTCACTGTGAAATGTGTCTCTATAAAAACGAATTAAGTCAATACATTTTTGTGAGTGTGTAGATTATGATTACTATTATTATTATTATTATTCAGGATTTATATAGTGTCAACATTTTGTGTAGTACTTTACAAAATGGAGACAGGCAGTACAGTTACAA